AACAATATTGTACTGACCCAGCAGTTGAACGTTGCCAGAACAGGAGCCGGCTGATACTGATTGAGGAACAAATAATTTAATGAAAGGGAGATAATCTTCATCGGCATATGCATGCAACTAAAACGGCTGGACCAGTAAACATGAGCAGTGTTCATCGGGGGGGAAATTTATTGATTAGCATATTAATTATACAATTCTAAGAACGAAATGTAGATTATAAGTTATGCAGTTTATCCTTTCAAAATAAGGACGCTTAAACAACCTATATTATGATTTTTAACAATTTTGCACAATGACCACATTAACAGACATAGAGTAAGGGGAATAACTCTAAATTCTCAAGTTTTTTTTCAAGCTGAAACGACTTTATTCTATTTTATAATAATAATGATAACAATAATATTAGTAAAGTGTTCTCTCATTTGAATTGGTGCCGATATAGGAAATATGAACTTGAAATCGAACAGAAGTGGTACCTCCACAAACCAGAGAAGGTGAGTGATAGCGACCAAGTCAAGATCCCATTGCTTCAGAAGTCTGAGTTGCTTGGCTTTGCAAATATTCGGCTCTCTCAGTGAGGAGAGAACAGCTATAATGCAAGGTCTCAAATAAAACAAAAAAAATACATGCAGAAGAAAAGATAATAATCTATCTATCTATGTGTGTGTGTTCGCGAACTACTCGAGAACCATAAGGCATATTTCCACCAAATTTGGAACATAGATTGTGCTCGATAATGAGTGTGTCTGGGGAAGAAAATTAGTCATTTTTCAAAAATTAATAACCGATAATCGATAAATATAATGTTTAAATGGGAATTTCCATTAGTTTGGTTGTTTTTAAACTTTCAGACTTGAAGTCTAAACCCTAAGGCCGATTTTAATGAAACTTGATAAGTGTATGCACCTTACTGTTACGCTTATCATACGTTATATTGATCTTCGTTTCTCTCGACACTGGGACCCCCAGGGTACCCCAAAGGGACCCCCAAAAATTCAAATTCCTTCGATTTTGATGAAATTTTGCATGTTTGTTACGCTCTTACAATGAGATAGAAATCGGTTGTCAGATTTTTAAAAATGCATGAGGGGGCCCCGAGGATGACCCTATAAACCCCTTGAGGCTTCAGTTGCTTTTCAAGTGTATTTTGTATTTTATTCCCCAATTTCAACGAAAATTTCAGTACATATTGAGATTATATCGAGTAACTGAAGTCGCTGTTGAATTTCCTCTCCTTCCAATGTATGTTGTTCATTCGATGTAGTTTGAGCAAAAGCTGTCAACAAAGCATTTCTCCTCAACAATTTTCGAAGATCGATTGCGATTAATGTACTCTTCATTTGCTGACAAATGTTTTTGTATCTTCTGTGCTTCTGTAAAACCAATTTTCTCCTGTTATAAATGTTTTCTCACTTCATGTCATTATAATTTTAAGCCATATAGATAAGAGGCACTAAAGAAAATTCTTCTTTATTTTAACTTTACAGATTGGATGAGGTTCGTGATCTTTTTTGAATAAACCCAGGCAACGCCGGGTAATGCTGCTAGTAATAATAATAATAATAATAATAATAATAATAACAAGCGTCTTTATTCCGTAATAAAGGAAGCCAACAAGTTCAAAATGTAATTTCAAATGTGTGCAGAAATACAAGTAAAGCACAATACATCGACTGAAGCTGCAAAATACTTAAAAAAAGGAAAGCAAAAGCAAATGCAACCGACCAGATACAAAAACGATGGCAAGATAAACCGCTTCACGGTCAATTCTCTGCCCGCACCGAACAAGCTGATGTAGACAAACCCTGTACCCATCAGTGGCTATGTAGTACAGGGTTAAAAGCTGAAACCGAAGGTTTTATCCTTGCTGCACAGGATCAGTGCTTGTTAACTAGAAATTATCAAGCACACATAAAATATTGTGTTAGCCCAAAATGCAGATTCTGTAATAAATATCCAGAAGCAATTGATCATCTTGTATCAGGTTGCACGCTATTGGTACCCACTGAATATAAAACTCGGCATGACAGAGTGGACCAATATCTGCACTGGAAAATCTGCAACTTCTATGGGAAGGAAACTGAAAGAACAAAAACCGGTTACGGAGATAGAACCTGTAATAATTTTATGGGACTACACAATACACACAGGCAGTACAATCAATGCTAACCGGCCAGACATTGTTATTAGAGACCGCAAAAAAAAAAAAATTGCCTCCTTATTGATATGGCAGTCTCTGCAGACTTCAATGTATCTTTGAAGATCTTCAAAAAGCTATCAAAATACAAGGACCTTGAAATCGAAATATCAAAAATGTGGCACATGAGAACATCAACAATCCCTGTTGTAGTTGGAGCCCTCGGATTGGTTGGAAAAGATTCCAGTAGACTCATTGACAGGATTTCTGGAAGCCCATGCCTTAAAGAAATACGAAAAAATAGTTCTCAGGAGTACAGCCCACACCTTACGAAGGGCTTTATCTATGTATGTATGTGTGTGTGTGTGTGTGTGTTTAATTGGTCAGTAGAAAATGTCATGATGCCATTTCTGACCTTAGGTGTCTGTGCGGGACACACCAGAAATCAAAGGAAATAAAATAAAAATAATAATAATCAAATCCGCTTGCAATGTATGCACCTGGTATACCTTTATCAATTTGGGTCTCATCATGAGTATATTAGGCTTTGTATATTTGTACCCGGACATCATATTATTTGTAGGCTGCTTTCTCACTCAACAACAATAACAATAATAATTATTCAAATGACTGGCTCATAAAGACATTAAAATTAATTAATTTTTTTTTTTTTTTGCTTCTCATTAATTTCTTAAAATTCAGTATGAAAATCTGGAAAACTACTTTAATCTTTAACCACTCTAATGATGAACTCAAATGTGACAACTTTGAGATTAATAGAGAAACATTTTGAAGACATTCCCTTTCATCTGTTTTGTTCTGTATTGCATTGCATTAATATTGACATAAAATGTGCACACACACATACACACACACTATGAAAAAAAAACCTTGCACGAATGAAAAGTGCATATTACTGATACCACCTGGGGAGTGGACTGAGTAATTTCCGGAGGGTACGTCTATAAAAATCTGTAATCTGGATGTTGAAGGTAAAATCAATCAGCTAAGTGACAAACGTTTTACTTTTTATTAATTCTCTCTCTCTCTCTCTCTCTCTATATATATATATATATATATATATATATATATATATATATATATATATATATATAACGGTCATTGAATGCTGGTGTTAATAAAATCGTGGTTGATGCAGAATAACAGAGCTATAAATTATATATTAATAATTGATTTATATTTTTATTTGGTCGAATTAGCTCGGACATTCATAAGTCCATCACGCCAAACATCACGGTCCTACGTGAAGGTTGGAAGGTCATTAGAAAAACATTCTGTTTTAATGTAGGTGGACTGATGTGCGACCAACCCGTCTTGCACCATGGGCAGGAATCCAGAGCAGTAGATCACTCTCAAGTTCCTGTTTTGCTCGCCAGCAGTGTCCTGCAAAACACATGTAAGATTGTATAAATATCAGGGATGGGTCCTTAGAGCTGTGATTGAGACTTGCTGGTTGAAGCTTAGGTATAGATTTTTTTCTCACCGGTAGCATAGTTTCATGCACAACATCGTTATGCTATCGGTGAGGAAAAAAATCTATTTATTAATAGAAATAAGTGGCCTGACGATTGCGTCTAAGTGTTGACTTCAATGTTCATTTTTATATATCATTTATATATATATATATATATATATATATATATATATATATATGTATATATATTAATATGTGTGTATTAATACAAATATAAAATTCGTCACTTAGCTGATTGATATTATATTCAGCATCCCGACTCTAGAGTTTCGTAGATGGATCCTGCAGCAATCGTTCCAGATACCAGCAACCGATGTCATTTTATATCAAGTTAAATCTTAGGCGTTTTATAAAGTGTTCTATTTTTCTTGTAAGTATGATTTTAGAATTATGTACATTAACAATTAGCTTTTTAATTTCTTGCTTAAGACGATTTTTATTCCTGAACAGTTGACTAAGTTTAATTTCTCATTTACTCAAAATATGTTCATTCATATAGTTCTACCATGTTTCACACACACACACACACACACTAAATAATGAATAGGAGCATTCTGCTACCACTTGATTGTGTTATATTATTATTATTATTTTCCATTCAGCGAATACTATTGGTCGAAAAAGATTTCAATGTATTTTCTATGTAATAGTTTCTTTCGACGGCAGTTTTTGTACAAACTAAACACCAAAATGAATCACAGAAGCCTTGAATAATTCTCCGACTTCTAATTGGCTTAATATATTGGAAAAACATTACAAAGCCTACGCAGTTGTGTTCAAAGTCAATTTACCGCCAAAATCTGGTTATGTGTTATCGAGCCTATCACATTAATTATAAATACTTTGTCACATCTTCATTCTTTCTCTTTTCTCCTCAGACCTACAGCAATGTAATTCAGTAGAGAGGTCGCGTTTTCTCCCTTTAGGGAAAACGCTATGAAGCACACACGTGCGTACGAACATCGCACATCTACAAACATTCACTCCTTCAACCACAAGGACAGAAACACTTAACATTGTGAGTAACAAACTGTTTCTCTTACAAGTAACAATACTCACACACTTTTTAACCCACATCACAGTTTATCAACAAGAACATTTTCCCCACTCAAAATTCCAAGAACAAGTAAATTTCAGCCAGAAAATATTTTTAGATTGTAAGATTTGGGTGGGGGCGGATAATAATAGTTTAGTGATATCAGTCTCAATAATTAACACATAACTGGGGAAGAAGAGATTGATTCATACCTTTCCCAATAGTATTTATGCGTAACTGAATATAACGAACCCAACTGGAATTGGAACTCGGCTCTCCGATTAAGAATTCCGAGACATTATCCATTACACCACCCGCACATCCAAGCTTAGAGCATCTGGTATTCCCAAGTGGTCACCCATCTAGGTATTGACTAGGCACGACATTGTTTAACTTCGGTGATCGTGTGGGAACCATTGTATCAACGTGATACGTCCGTAAGTTTGTTTGATTCAGTGCAAGAAGAGGCGATAACATTCTGATGCATTTAATGTCTGCTACAGTGAAATAGAAAAATTTGTCAATTTCAAATATTTTCATTTGTATCCTCTTCCTTAAATAATGTCTTGCATTCATATTTATGATTGTTATTGCAATATTATGCTAAAGTTGTTAACTTCAAAAATTTAACGATGCAATAGGGAAATTTCCAAAATTATTTTATGGTCGCGGAATTAAGAGGGAACTTATACAATCATTAAGTTAAGAATAATGATTCACCAGGAAATCCAAATAAGAAACATAGATATTTCTAGAAATTGTCTATTAGATCAACAAATCAGTTTTCTCGACTTCTATAGAAAAGAATAATCTTGTTTATAGTGTTTATGGAGAAAATAGAATCCATGTTTAATTTATGTAAAGGAAAATATATAAATTTCTATAAAATAAGCTTACGCCTTTTCAGGCTAACGTTCTCAGCTTACATGAAGTGAAAAGACTATATTGAATCCACTGTTAGTTCAGCTGCTAAGAGAGTTCATTCACTGTGTCGTGCGAGACAATTTTTATCTCCAGAATCTATCGTACATATCGTCCATGTTTAGAATATTGCTGTGACATATGGTCCGGTGCCCCTGTTATTTACCTTGAGCCTCTTGATAAAATTCAAAGAAGAATCAGCAATATTACTGGCCCTGATCTGGCAGCTAGGCTTGAGTCATTTTCCCACCGTCGTAAGATTGCCTCCCTATGTCTTTTCTATCAATACTTTCAGGGTAATTGTTCGGATGAGCTCTTTGCTATGATAGCTAGGCTTTTTGAATTTAAGCGCAGTAGTAGAATGATCTCATCAATTTACAGTTGAGCTGGCTAGATCTGACCGTAATTCTACGCTAACAGTTTTTTCTCGTACTTCTTGCTTGTGGAACTCCCTTCCGCTTCCATGCTTTCCAGCTAACTTTAATCTGCAAAAATCTCACTGTTAATCGCTATCTACTGTCCTCCTGATTACTCTCTCCTCTTCCCGTTCATTAATAATGTTTCTGTTCCTAATTCTTCCACATCCAGTAACCCCCTGTGTCTTAGTAGCTTTACTGTCTTGCTTGGAGTGAAAAGAAATTATATCATTCAGTGACATTGCATTTATTTCGCAATAATATCTGAGTAAATATATGTGGGTAGCGTAAAAGTTATCGGCGCGATCAGTGAGCCGAGTTAAAATTTCTGCTTTGCTTACTGCACACGCTTTTGTACTAACGCCCCTGGGAAAAACACAGACCTATTTCTCCCTCTCCCTCTCCCCCCATCAAGGTGGGTTAAATAACAGCGCAGATCTAGTTTTTCTATCAGTGGGCGGCAACCCGTATAGGAGAAGGACTATTTTGAATTCACAACCGTGGAGAAGGCAACAGAAAACTATTCCGTTCTGTTCCCTAAGAAGTTAGGACAACAGATAATAAAGAAAAAGAGAGAACCATGATCGCTTACGTTGTGAAGAGACATTGCATTAAGAATATCGAAAATGGTTAACAACAAAGGTCATTATATTCTGTAAAAAAATTAATTTTTCTTCAATAAATTTTATAATTTTGAACTTTTTAAGCAAATAATCGCTTGAATAAAACTAATGAAAAATTGCAAAGGTAGAGATTCTTAAAACTTAAATAGTTGACTATAGGTTTTTTAGTAAAAAACGTACCAATTTACTTTTCTTTCACTGTTTTTGTCCTTGTGACAAAATATTCAAATTCAAAGAAGGATTGTCATGAAAAAAAATTACATGCCGCCTATAAAATTATGCGGAATGTAATTACATGAGTCAAAACGTTATTCAAGCATTGACAAGATGCCAGGCTATTATCCAAATTTGAATGACTTTTGTGAGCATGATATAAGTTTAATATTTAATCTGACTACAGTTCTTTCTTTAGGAACAATTCTTATATATGTGTTTCAATTCGGCCTTTTTATTTGAAAATGTTTAGATTTAAATATAATTTCACTGAGACATTTCTTCCCGGCATGTTGGATAGATGTGAGTTTGTGACCCTGGGTTTCACGCTTTAGCGATCGTCAGACAAACTGATTAATGTTTTAAAAAATTTGGGTTCATGTAGATTGCGTGTATTGGTGTTATTGTGGAAGTGGTGGGGGAAATTTCGTCGTTTTGTCATTCATCGTACTAATGCAAACATCGATATATGCAGACACATATACATACTTGGTCGTCCGTCGGGACTCATACATATATAAACGTATGTAGGCAGTTTCGGCTATGACACATGTATGCATACGGGTTGTGTTATGTCTATACATACGCATTTGTATGTTGAAATGTTGAAATTTAAACATTGGAAGTGTGGCGGAAATGTCTCGTCAATGTCTCGTGAATGCATCCATGTCATATTATGTATATTTTTTTTTTTTTTCGCTGAAAAATATTTCCTCGCATGTATGTATATACGTGTGGTGGGGTTTTGTAAAAAATTATGATCGGTAAAATTATTATTATTATTTATTTATTTTTTTTTCATACACTTTTATATATATATATATATATATATATATATATATATATATATATATATATATAATTTTTTCCTAAAGAAAGAACTAGTCAGATTAAATATTAAACTTATGTCATGCTCACAAAAGACATTCACGTCTGGATAATAGAGTTAAAGTTTTGGATCATATATATATATATATATATATATATATATATATATATATATATAATATAATTACAAGTAAAAAACTTAGCTGATTGACGTTATCTTCACCATCCCGATTCCAGAGTTTTGTAGACGGACCCATCCGCCTTCTCGTCAGAGGATATCAAAAATTGACTGCTTATACTTCTCGATTTTTCTTTTTTATATGCACTTATCATTCGTGCAAGTTTTTTTTATATTGTATGTGTGCGTGTGTACCATCGCGCGCATGTGATCATGTAGAATGCGCAGATATACATACGTATAGAACTTCATGATTATTTGTCTTTTTCGCCGCTTTTTTTCACTTTGCACTCGCTCCTTAACCCTTACTATGTCTCTTTTTTTTCTCTTTCCTCTTTCCTTTCAATTGTTGCCACTTGTCTTCCGGTTTTTCTAGTCAGACTGTCGTACTTAATTTTTGGGCGTTCTAGGCTTTTCATGAGTTAGGAAAATTGTATTTCATTTTTTACATTAATAATTTTAATACTTAAATGATAACGTAAATATTTATATGTCTTCAATTGCCGGGAAGAAATTTCGCGAAGAAATTATCTTAAATTCCTTTGACTACTTTGGCTATCAATTTTCGATTGCAGGCAGAATCCTGTATATAATGAACTCAATCTCTGCCTTTTCATCGAGGAACAAAATGATACAATTTCAAATTTCAATTGTTTGTCCTTCAAAATATTAACTTTGATATAATATGTATTCATTTTAAATACAAAGAGTTTTTTAATGAATTAGAAAGTTACCATCTCCCTTTTGCTTTCTTCTTGAGACAAATAGTAACACTTTTGAAAAATATTAAATTATTACTGTTTTTTTAAAAATAAGCACATCTAGTATGAAAAGAGAAATAGAAATTGAAAAAGGAATAAAATGCTAAGATGAATCTTATTGAGAAACAATAGTGAAGGAAAATGGAAAAGAAATGTCTGTCCTTACATAAAACATATTATTGATATTTTTGTACATGCCTGGCGATCAATGATGGATTAATGATCCCATGACGCGGCAGATTAATTCTGTGGATGCAAATATGACATAAGAGCAAATCGGAGACAACTGAGATGAGTTTGATCTTAAAATAAATCAAAGAAAATTCTGTGAACAAACAAATTGTTGTATATCACCTCTGTTGACCAAACATAGAGTTTTCTATCGTAAGCAGATTGGGTCTTAGGAAAAATCTTAAGCAAGCTGGTTGGTCACCAAAGTTTTCTCAATATTTTTTCACGAGGCACAGTTTGGCCAATTTAGATAATTTTCCTGAAATCATTTCCCCATTCGCAAACGGTATCAAGGTTGTGAACTTGGTTTCAATAGTTATGATGCTGAAACAGGCTGGAAGATGGTGGCTGATGAAGGCAACGTATTAATACACGCACATACAAATGGAAACCTGTTCAATTGTGAAGCGGACCCAGTCTCTTACTGATACGGTGCAGCTGGCTCGTGGATGATCAATCTGTAGTTACTCACTCGGAAGTGGATCTTCAGGAGTTGCTATTTATTATGTATTTTGCAAAGGTCAGAAAATTCGTTATCTTGGAAACAAAAAGAAAAACGTAATTCTTCATTAACTGACACTTTGACAGGAGTATCACATACCTTTTATAACCATCTACACGACAAAGGTAGATTTAGTTTGACTACACTTACTTAGGTTCTGTAATATCATTTGATATCAAGTTAGAAAAAGAGAAAAACATTGGTTAATACAAAGGTGTCAGAAAAGTTACAGAAACAAGTGTTGCAAATGCATTTTACCGCTTACCTTTTTTTTTTTTTACCGAACTGAAATAGTGAAGCCTTTAAATACAAGACACTGAAGCTGTACTGAAAAAGTTTAATCGGCTCTGGGTGAACGATATAGCGAAAATAGAAGACTATTGTCTTTGAAAGCCTTTTCTTTTTGGCGAATTGGTCGTCTCTGGCAGTCAGAGTAGAGGACATCATAAAAGAGATATAGGGTCTCCTTTAAAAGGAACCTCATCTCAGGTGTAATTCATTACCCTAAATAGGAAACAGCAGCTGTTGACATAGAGACGTAGAAAGATGGTAAACTTTTTATATGAAATACACCGCAGGAAAAAGAACCGAAATAACTTGAGCTGTCTTCAGTTGACAGATTTTATCGTGCAGCCGCTGTGGAAAAACTTGTCTGTCCCATGTGGGTGCTAACGTGTAGCTGCGAAACTGCAACAAATATGGAATGCAATCCTAAATTGTCGTTCGCGAAACCAAACCATCACGTACTATATATATATATATATATATAAAACTGTATTATGTATATATAACTGTATTATATATATAAATATATGAATGTTTTTTCCAAATAATATTATAAATATTATATATATTTATTATATATATATATATATATATATATATATATATATATATATATATATATTTCCTTGACGGAAATTTAAAAAGAGAAAAGACATTCAGGAAAGCATGTTTCAAGAAGAATTGATGTTGCATTTAAATTTTGAAGATTGTAGTTTTCATTTTCGAAAGTGCAGAAAAGAAACTGTTGGAGTAGAAGTGGTTTTTAACTATTTGAACAGTAAAAGAGTTAGATGCCAAATAGACGCCTAAATTCAAGGCACCTCGTCAGATTGCCATGAAAATATTTGTAGAAAAGACAGGGGAGCCACATCAAGTCTGTGAGAAAGTGACTGAAGTCGAGATGCCAAGTCAGGATCGATTACATTGAAGATCCTTTTTTGGATTTTGTCAAGAACCTCGAGATGAAAGCAGGATATAGCATCAGTATTCAATGCACGGATGAATGCTAGATTTGTAAATGTGAAAGATGAACTCTGACGATAAAAAGTTTCTGGTATGACACAGTGACCCAACTTTCCTTACATTAGATGCAGCTATTGATTGGATGCAGTCGTTCCATTTCAAGTCAGTTGAAAACGCGAGGCCAATGTGTTGTTCTCCAGGATCCTATCATCAGCCATGCTGATGGCGTACAGGAAAGCTTCTCTATGGTGGTTAAATGAGAGCGGTTTCGTTTTGGAAGTATTCAAATTTACGAGTCAATTCTTGCCCCAGTTAACCCCTGATTGGAGGTCGTTTTCGAGACCAACGGCCAGGTTAACATTGACGGAATTGCTATTGAGGCAGGAGTAAATGGTAGTGTAATCTGCATAGATGTCTACTTGAGAAATGATGAAGATCAGAAATAGCGTAGGGCCCAGAATAGAGCCTTGGGGAACACCTGCGTTCGTGTGAAATTATTTGGAAACGATCTTCAAAACAACCTTCATATCACGATTTTATAGGAACGATTGGATTAAATCAAATGATCTTCCTGTAATATCGTAGCCCTGGAGCTTACGTAGAAGACCAGCGTGCTAAATCCTGTCAAACGCATTCGAGATATCTAGCGCCACAGCCCGAGCTTCACCGTTATTATCAAGAGTTTGATAATCAAATTCAGTGATGACCGTTATCACATCAGCGGTAGACCTGGTGAAACGGAAGCTATATTGTTTGTCAAAGGGTAGTTCAAAAGAGTTAAGATGTTTAACCACTTCAGCATTGATTAAAGGCTCAAATACTTTGCCCAAAATGATAGGCAATAGGCGATAGTTAGAGGGTCAGAAGGTTCTCCAGAGGTCTTAAATCAGGAACTACAGACTTCCAACAAGCTGGAAACTAGGAAGCAACGAGGCAATAGTTGTAGAGTTTGGAGAGAATTGGAGCCAACTCGGGAGCACATTTCTTTAGGCCGACGGTTGGGACACCGTCACTCTGCTGGGAGGCTAATTTAGAAATGATGCTCATATTATTCAGTAGAACCTTTGTTCTAACAGGGAAATCAGGTGTGGGTACTCCAAATGAATCGAGTGTTGAATTGGAATAGAATTTCCGAGCAAAACATCAAACATTATCAGTTGTAGATGCCAGGCATTCGAAATGATTGGATAGACAAGGGATTGAGAATTTGATGTTGTTCAGTACACTCTTGCAGAGGCGCCAATAATCTCTAGAACCGAACTTGCGAGATGCTATACGTTGTTTCATTCTATCAGCAAACAGTAACTTCGCTTCTTTGAGGACACGCTTGCTCTCATTGCGTGCAGAGACAAAGAGACGTCTGTTGCAATCAGACGTGTCGCTCTGGTACAGCCGGAAGAAGTGAGACCTGTGGGCTATTACGGTCGAGTATGCAGGTGAGAACCAAGATGAACGCGATTTAACTTGGTATTTCCTTGCTGGAATGAAAGCATCGATGCCGGCTTTCACCCAGGAAAAAACCTCAGACGCTCATTTTTGAACGGGATGATTAAAAACTCTATTCCAAGGGACGTCATGAAGGAACTCGCAGAACGAGTCCCAATCTCAAAGATATTCTGTTGGTAGGAGATTCTTGGCTGGTAGGGGAGCGGAAAGTTTACAGACACTTACACTTGTCGCTTGTGGAACTCTCTTCCGGCTTCTTGCTTTTCGGTCAACTTTGATCTCCATAAGTTTAAATGCAATGTCAATCATCTTCTGTTTTCTTTCCTCTTCTTTCATTGTTCTCTCTCCTTAATAATTTTTTCGGATTTTTTTACAGTCAGTAACTCCTTATGTCTTAGTGGCTTCATCGCCTTAAAATGATTATATATGATATATATATATATACTGGTTGGATATCAAGCGAAAATGAATAAAAGACTGGAAGCCGGGTAGGGATGGAAAAGTGTTAAACTTGTGATGCAATCAAATTATTTATACAGAACTAAAATAAAAGAAAGATAAAAAAAAAGGTTGCAATGGAAAATATTTGTACATTTTTTATTCCTTTTTGCACATAAAACTAAACTATATTTGTCTCGTATTTATATGAATTATGGATTAGCAACGAAGATCGGAAGAGAGGAATAACAGAATAAGAAGGAAAAAGAGGAGATAATGAATAATCTTATTTGAATTTCCACAGGTCCAGCTTGTCGATATAAATGTGTCGGCTGTATGATTATGAGTAAGACTATTGAAAACATGTTTAACCTTCTTGTGCCTACAATCAAATAACGCTGGAAGCAGATCTTCAGATCTGATTACCGAAGTTAAGCAACGTTGAATCTAAACATTACTAAGATGCGTGACCGCTAGGGTACACTAGTTATTTATGTCAGCTACATTTTAACCTTGTTGAAGTTTAGCATCAATATTGCTATTGAACGAAACTGATAAAATTAGTTCATCGAATTAAAAACCAGAATTTGAAAAGAATTGGGGAATATAATAATAAGACTTGTAGTTTTCATATTTTCTTACAGGCCAAGTCGTTCATAAAAGTACTGAACGTGTATACAGATGAAACATTAATAGAACCAGAGATGTATACGACGTAACTTGTGGCAATAGTGTGTTTTGAGGGGCTAGGTAGGTACCTAAAAAAAGAAGCGATGTTTCATTTTAAAATACATTTATAAAAATGAAGAATCTTTCTTAAAAGTTTAATTTTAGATTTAATTCCAAGTTAATAGATTATATTTAATATTCCCAATAAGTAAATACTTTTATGCACTTCAAACTGAATTTAAACATGATTGGAATCTTTTTTCTACTTGGCAGCAACATAAGATAAATTCGTCTATATTGGCAGATTTGTCAACACACATAATTGTCTTTATAAAAAAATTGTTCAAAAATAAAATATACTTTTTTTAAATATCTTATTTGAGAAAAAAATCAGCTGATTTAAAGTTAAATTAAGAATTTAAACAAATATTACTTACTTTTAGTTAAAAAATATTGCAGAAAATCATTTTTTAAGATGCAAGGAGCACTTTTTGACTTGTGTGATTTATTGACAGCCTGGTACTTGAGAAAGGAACACAATTGACAAAAATACATGACGAGTACAACGCAAACGCCTTTTTTTTTTAACTATCCAGAAATCTTTAAAATTTACAATGTTTTAAGCATTCTAACATTTTATTGAACTTTACTTAATTACTAAAATGTTTGTTGAGGAAATGTTAGATGTTGCCGATCTTATTTTCTGATAGTGCTATGTATGGACGCCCGTATTTACAAAAATCGACAAGTTTATACATACATAAAATAAGATTCGATAGAGTTTGCGCCACTTCATCAGAAAACATTTCCGAACGTGTCAGAGCACATTTCAAGCAACATAAATCAAATGGTATCATGATTTTGAGTTCTGTTGTTTTTTTGTTTGTTTTTTTTCTGATTGTTCGAAATCGCCCTTGCTGAATTAATGAAAGCGAATATCTGATTTTACCAGTAAACTTTAGAAAGCGGTGTAGTGTCAGCCACATTTGGATGTCACTATGTTTTCACCCAAGGAGCTTCCGCACAGACGAACAATTTGATCAATTTAGAATATTGCTAAGAAAATTAGTGACTTTTGGAACGATCAATCTTCACGTTTGTTGCTTTCATCAAAATATCAGATGTACTCATCATTCACAGGACCTCATTAACTTCTCGACTTTCGAGAAAGAACAAAAATATAAGTTTAAGAAATGATTGAATAGCAATATCTCATCTTTATAAAAAATGTTTGAGACGTTTTTAAACTTTTTTAGGTTTTAGCAAAACCTTACACATTCAAATGTTAAAACCTTTATTTGATAAAGGAGAATAGTAAATTGTGAAAAGGCATAAAAAAAACAACAATAAAAAATTTTTTTCGACATTTACAAACTCGTTCTGCTGAATGAACGTGAATAAAAATGTTAGAAAGTTTCTTGGAATCATATTCTTTTCTTTTCTTTTGGAAAAATATACATACCGCAAACATTTATTTCTTTTTTTAATTTATATTTTGTTTCGTAGTTAATGATATCTGATTCGAGATCAATTCCATCGAGTAATAGATTAAGCGGTCAGATACAGCTCTTAACCATCTGATCGACATATTTTTTAAAATTCTAATCTATACTCAATACGCCAGATATCTGATATCTTTCCCCTAATCTGGGTAGAGAATATTTCTTTAAGATGGCGTCCGCTTCAGAACGCTTGTCTGGATCAATATCTCTACGTGATTCGCTCTTAGTCGGAAGCCGAGCAAGGATAGTTGACGTCCGTCTAGTATCTTTTCGGAAACCGTCAACAGCTAACGTAACATGTTCATGCGAGATATTGAAGAGTTCAAACAAGATCTCGCAACACTGACGTGGATATTTGATGAGATCTTCACAAATTACAGGTAGTACAGGAACGCCATACATGCGGAGCTCTTCACAACGCGAAACGCTGGACGCCCAGCCGGCTGTTATAATACCGACTGTGCTGAGGTTGGGAGCTAAGTCTTTCAATGTCGTGTCGCTCTTGTCAATATGGCTGAACAAGTCGTACAAACTACGCCGAACGCATGGGAACACCTTTGACAGAGCATTACTGTCAGCTATAAAGCGGATGAGTTGAAAAAGAACGTTTGAATTCAACGTTGTGTTAATCACTGATGAAACTGTCTTCAAGCTGTTTCGGTACATGAAGATATGGCCCACTGACGGTACCATTGCATAGACATCTTTGACCATGCGAAAGCAGCATGGCCTTGTTTTGATACATATCATATTGGCACGATCATTTGGTTTGCACAATACTCGTATGGTACTGGTTAACAGCTGTTTGTATTCTGCTTTTGATATTTTTTTTTCTCTTTCCAGATTGCTAAGGCTAGTTAGGGCATCAGGCTCCCCAATAACAATCACATTAGGAACGTTTTCAAACATCTGCCGCATAATAGCCGAACCGCAACGCCAAGTCCTTGAAATCCAAATCACTGGCATTCGTGGCTCACCTAAGTCGGATGCCATCTTGTGGAACGAAGCCAACGGTATAGTTATGATCTTTTCGGCGTGCAGGAACTGTGAATTGTGAAAAAACGGACTTGTGTCACAGCTGTAGATATCCACCGTAGATGATGTTTCCACAAATACAGCTTCGTCTTTTGTGAGGCAGTAGAGTGAAACGTTCTGTTTTAGCACGTAAGTCGGGTGCTTGAAACAGTTGTGGATAGAGATGAAGTCACTCGGATCTGCAATGTAGATGTCACACAGTTTGCGTCGCCAGATAATATCCTGAACATGTGCACTTTGTTTGTATTGCAGTCCACGTCGAGCGTCTCTGCGGATGTACTCGACTCCCATAATTCCCCACGAAATCCGTTGGAAAGCCACCACCAAGTGCCGTGTTATCTGATAAAACAGATAAGTCACCATTAGAATGATGTAATCGCGGACTCTGTTAATGGTCTCCGACATTTTCTCAGACCAGTTTTCCGAATTCATTTCTTTGGTATAAAGTGCTGTGACTGAAAAAAAAGAAGATAAATTTGATGATTAAATTAAATATATGATGATTAAATTAAATATAATCTCTGACTTACAATAGCGTTTGAGACTGAAAGTGAAAAAGATTAATTTAATTTTAGATGTATTCTATAGAAATAGAAATCTATTCTTACATATGTTTACTCTTAAAATAAGATTAAAATAAACATTAAATTGCCACAATTGTTTTATTAAGTGATAGAAAAGCAGTTCATAAATATATCATTAAATGAAATTAGTCAATTGCCGTCCATAAAATTACATAAAAAAGCACTAATTACTGTCAGATTAAACATGCATTAAACATTTCTCTTGGACACAGAATATTTAAAAGATTTTTCATTATATATATATATATATATATATATAGGTTGCGATGGTTAAAATGTCGTCTACATTACGCAAAAATGAAAATAACACTGACATCTCATTTTAACAGATATATTTAACAAAATTACACAAAAATATCTTGAAATACTAAAGAGTGACTTTATTCAATTAAATCGCCATTGATCTCAACCCCGGTCTCGAGACGACTTCGGAATCTTCTGCAACTCTTCTGGACAGTCTCTTTTGATAAGTTGGTGAATGCTGCCATAATCATTGTCTTCAGTTTATCTTTGGTGTTACAAGGAGTTTTGTTGGTCTCTCGCTCAACTGAGCCTAGATAATAATCAAGAGAGTTGCAGTCTGAGGGGTTATGTGGCCAGATATAAGGGGTGATGTGGTCGCAGAAATTGTCTGCCAGCCATGACTGGGTTCTCTTGCTTGTGTGACATGGTGCAGAGTCTTTCCAGCAGTCATCTTCTTGACCCAGGACAGCACTACCTCCTCAAGGCACTTGATGTAAGCATCCGTGTTGAGTCTGAGGACTTGTGGCAAGATCAATGGAGGCATAACGTCGCCATCACTAGTAATCACTGCAAATACATTCGTAATCACTATTAGTTTCATCCAACGCTTTCCGAATCCTCAGCTTGACACCCAAACACTCTAAAATGTTCGTATGGAGCTTCCGATAATCTAGCCAAATTCATCTAGATTCTTTTTCTTTTTACCCCATCATCTTTTATTAAATAGTATTGCTGCCATATATGGTCTGGAGCACCTTCTGTTTGCCTCGGGGTTCTTGATAGGCTCCAGAGGCGGATATACAATATAATTGGCCCTGATCTGGCATCTCGTCTACAGACACTTTCTCACAGACGCGCCGTCGCCTCTCTCTGTCTGTTTTACAAATACTTTCATGGCAATTGCTCCGAGGAGTTGCATTCGCTAGTTCCCAGACTAAATGTAGCCGTCTCTTCTACTCCAATAGCTTCATGTCTCGCACCTCTCGCCTGTGGAACTCCCTTCCCTATTCCAGTTTCCCTGAGAGCTATAATCTCCTGCTATTCAAATGTAATGTCAATCGACATCTCCAGTTGCCTTGATCTATCCACTACCCTTCTCCACATCCTTTCTTCTATCACTCCTATCTGATCTTGTTCCAAATTTTCTGTAACCCCTTGCGTCCTAGTGGCTTCCCGCCTTGCTTGGGGTGAAACGCTTAAAAAAAAAAAAATTCCACATTGTAGAACTTATCCAAACTCAACATAAAATTTGTCACAACTACATAAAGAAATAAAAGACTTAATAATACGAATCAAAACAACAAGCCAAAACTTGAAGGAGGAATTTACTCCATCACCTGCAATGATTTCCAGAAAGGATTAAGTGGAGAAACCCCAAGAAGTTTAAATAAAAGATTAAATGAACACAAAAAAGATATGTAAAAAAAAAAACAACACACAAAACGCAATGGTTGTTCACCATCGAAACTGACCACAATTTCGACATAAAATATGCTAGCTACTCTAATTAAAAGAGAAAATGATTCACCAAAAGTAAACGAAAATGTTTAGAAAGTGTTTTAATCGCTAGTTCATCCATAGTAAATCTGCGTTCAGATTCTTACAACGTTTCACCATTTTCTGTTATCACAACGTGGGATATTTAATAACGAAGATGATGGAAACATATAGAAAAAGAATTTTTAGATTAATGTGGCTAGATTGCAAAAAAAAAAAAAATCTTTCTAAAATTTTGAACTACCAGCGTCTCTCATTCGTGCGCATGTGTAGTCACAACAACGTAAACAAACCCAGTCCGATGAAATCCTAACGGATTAATCGCGTCACAAAAACTTTTCCAATTTGTCATATATATATATATATTTTTCATAAACATGTTTTTATTTTGAATTACAAGTCATGTGGCACAAGGCCAAACGGGGGTGGGGAAAAGTTGATCGTCACAGACTATCCTACACCTAGTTAATCTGGTCTACGACCCATTTATTCATTTACTGATACACCACAAGAACTCATTCATCGCCGTTCAATCCAACATATATGTATATATGTGTGGCATCTATCGGTCTCGAGAAAACTTGGACTGAGCCCAAAGAGTTATGCCTTTTAGCTGTTTATGGCGGTGCAGCAAGTATCCTCTGCAGGGCGTAGGCGGGGTTTGATGAGAGATCGGTGGTTGTCCCCTTTCCACGTTCCCGATGTTCAAAGGAAAGGCACTAATATAGCTTGACACCGGCGTCGTCGCAGGAGTTACCAGAACGAAATTGAATATAACATCGAACTGTCTTACGGACTCCGACTCTGGGTTTGACCTCATCGTTCACCTCATTTCCCATGGTTGGGTATGGTCGCAAGGCAGCGGTGGTTTAAAATAAGAATTCTCCTTCTTTTAGAGATGGACTACCCTCCCGGACTAACGAGTTTCATCTACCCAAAGTAGACACACTCATAAACCCATATATATTTTATTTTTATACTGGATGTCGGAGTAAACAGTTCGTCATCAAATGTACCAAATGTATTATTATATATATATTTTTTTTTTAAATGATAAATCAATAAATAAATAAGAAAAGAATAAAAGTATAAAATTATCATCAAATACATGAGAACATTTGATTATTATTCTGAAAAATATTTGAAAGATAAATAATACAACAAATTGTTTCGTGTTACGGTGTTATAACGTTATTTTGTTTCGTTTGCTTACTACTACTCTCTTTTTTGGTTAAAAATAGTCAATTTGTTCTATTATATATTTATAATAAATGCGTATGTCAGTGTGTCACACGTTTTCAACTTTACTCCTAGAAGCCGTAGCCAGACATATTATACCATTTTGTAATCAGGTCGACTCTGTGAGCAAATTAAAAACATCCTGGGCAAGATCCGGAGCCGCAGTTATTAAATTTTGGATTCCCATGTTTTCATTACTGCTATTGATGTCGACGATTTTTTTTTTGCGACAAATTTTTAGTACGATAAGAATTTTTATAACTTAGAAATAAATTTGGGAATATTCGAAAATTGTGAAATCCAGCAGCGAAAGTTACCCATGAAATAAAAATAATTGTTTTTGCGGAAAGTAAGAGCCGACGTACATCAAATTGTCTTTAAATTGAGTGGGACAGAAGAATTATCGTTGAACTTTTTAAAAGGTAAGCTTAAACATTAATGCAATACTTCAATGCAACGATCAATTTTACTTCTGTAGTTATTGTTGCCTATCGCATCTACTCTTCCCTACCCATTTTGATGAAGGCCCAATCAAGAACCCTCCGCCGATAGGGGGGCGGCTTTTAAGCTAATATATATATATATATATATTAAAAAATTGTAAAATCTTATGCAAAAATTATTTTCCATTATAGATACAATGTTTTTTTTATTTTTGAAAATTGTGTTTAGTTTACATTTGTTTAAAATATGTGCTCTCTGGCAGGATTCGAACGTAAGGCCTTAAGGCACTATTCAACTTTGCTTGATCGGCGTCGCACCCCGTAGTTGGATGGGTATAAGCACGTTGTATCTAAAGACGTTTTCTACTTCCAAGGGGAATGCAGGTTCAAATCCTGCTGGAGAGCGCATATTTTTCTTTAATAAGATTTCTCGAATGTTCAGGCCGGTAGACGAAAATAAATAAATATGCTGTTTAATAAATAACTTAAATATGGATATCCAATAAAAATAACGTTTAAGTAATAAGAATCTAAAAAAAAATCTATAAAAAAGATACGGAAGAATAAAATATAAAATTCCTCGTCACAAAATGTGAACGCAATATTTTAGCGTTAATATCATAAGGAAATCAATTTACACTTTGTAAAAGGAATTCACATAAGAGTACATTGTACGGTATTAATGATTTTTAGCCAGTGTTTGAAAACCTGCTCGTCGAACTAAACAAATTTGCGAAAGCGATACAAGCTATTTGAAATTGATAACAATGAAGAAGTTTCTGTGAAAATGTTATTCTCATCTTTTATTTTTTTATTTTTATTTTTTTGTTAATTTATACATAAAAAGACAACGAGACAGACTGACTAGAAAATACTCACTGAAAGTATTTCTTACTACTCGGTGTTGTCTTACCTGTGGGTGTGGGAATTATTTTGATTTCATTTAACTAAAGGTTTGTTTTTATGCTTAAATTTAACTTTTTAAATCTAATCAAGAATTAAAAAAAAAAAAGAAGGTAAAAACAATATTACTGAAGTATTGAAATCGGAACTTAAAGAAAAACTAAATTTTATTTTTTAAAAGAGAACATTCTGTAATTTCTACATCGTAAAACTGACCGTTACAAATCTTCCCGACAAGTTAATAAAAGGAATAATACTCATAGTTTTTGTCAGAATTTGTTTTAAACAAAATGATGTAACAATTGTGCGCTTAAAGAACTTTGTATTAGTCTTAGCGGTTCTTAATAACTGGTGGTGGGAATCGTATTTTTCTGAATATGCAATAAACGAGGAGCTCTTAATAAATGGGTTAAATAATTTTTAAATCATACAAAAAAATCATACAGTGTCCAGACGAACTACATTCCTTAGTTCTACCAGTTCTAATTTTCATGGTTAAGGCCCACCATGCCACGTACCTTGTAACAAACCATCCTCATTCCCTTT